GAGTTGTGACTTGAGACTTGACGACATTGGATCCAGACTCGACATTGGGATTCAGACATTTTGACGAGGGACTATTTGGGCCTGTGCCGAAGACTTGGTGTTGACGACATACCCATCTTCCCCTCTTCTTCGTCTAACCCCCCTCTTCTTCGTCTGTGTATGGTTGGGGCTGGTGCATTCTTCCTGTGTGAGCGCCAGACCCCTTCACACCATGGAGATGATGATGATGAGGTATGTTCTGGGCTGCATTGCAATATTGATTGTTCGGACATTGGTATCTAAGTTTTCCGCTGCGCTATCTTGTACTTTGTTAGAGAGGTCAGTTCTTGTTCAGGTCTGCTTTGTTACTTGTATGCAACAGTTTGGTATCGGAGCGGACCTGTCATTCAGAGGAGCCGCTTAATCAAGTAGCCAGCTTGCTTGATCTATTGATTACTCATTAGTAAATCAAGTAGGACTTCGTCAAATCTCAAAAAAAAAAAAATTCTTTTTCTCGCAACAACTATCTGAAAATTTCTCATAATCGCATTTCGTTTTACCTGAAAATTTCTGATATTAGTATTTCGTTTTCACGCAACAAATATATGAAAATTTCTGATAATCGCATTTCGTTTTATCTGAAAATTCCTGATAGTAGCATTTCGTTTCTCTGATATGTCGCATACATAGCTGAAAATTTCTGATGTTAACATTTCGTTTTCTAGGCATATTAGGATAACGATAGAAGTGGTCATATTCTCGGGAACCGGGTTTATTCTTTTTTGAAAATCGAATTTCCATTCTATCTCGCAAAAATTTTTGAAAACCGAAATCTTGCAAAGCCTACCAACATTTCGTTAGGCATATTCGGAGGTTCCCATATTCTCAGAAATTGTATTTAGTTTTTTTTTGAAAATCGCATCTCTACTCTATTTCGCAAATATTTTTTTTAAGACCGCATTTTTGTAAAAGCCGAAACTTTGCGGAACCTAGCCTAGATCTCGCTCATAGTACTCTTCTGACATGTCTCACTCATAACAGATCGACAGATATACCGAAAAAAAAAAAAAAAAAAGGAAGTAGTCCTCTTTTTTTTTTTTTTTTATCTGTTGATTAGGGACGGGAGAAAAGTATTGTTGGGTTGGTTCCCTACCTGCGTTTTTCCTCCCACCCACCCCTTTGCATGCATTTCCGAGTTGGTACAGTGGGACGTCAGCAACAGTGCCATGTCAGCAATGCCATGTCAGCAACAGTGCCATGTCAGCAACAGTGCCATGTCAGCAGTGCCATGTCAGGAGTGCCATGTCAGCAACAATGCCACGTCAGCAGTGCCACGTCAGCAACAGTGCCACATTAGCAGTGCCACGTCAGCAGTGCTACGTCAGCCACAGTGCCACATCAGCAGTGCCCCACCACCATGACGGGCTCAGTTTTGGGCATGCCAGGCCAACTGGCAAATGAGTCCATTGCCGAGTACTGATAACGTTTCGGAACTCAGCTCGCACTAATCGCGGTTGAGGAACAGCACCAGCTGGCAGCCGAGGCTCTCCGCCTACAGGCTGAAGCGGCGGCAACAGCTGAGAAGCAGCGGCTTCAGGCCGAAGCAGGCGCAAATACCCAGGCACGCCGCAAGGAAGCCCAGGATCTGCTGCAGCGGCATGAAACCACCAACATTGAAAGGCTGACACTTCGAACCATCCAAGGAGCACGATGACGCGACACCGGAGGAGCCGCATAAGGAATTCATGGCCAAGCTCATGATCAGGTTGATTTACACTTGTAACCACCTGCAGTCTGAGCTGGCGAACCTCCAACGGGCCGTACGGAACCACAAGGATCAGCACGAGGATGCAGCACGGGCACTTGATTCCCGTGTACAGGACTTGGAGCAAACTGCACCAAGATCGGAGGCTGGCGAGTCCAGCAGTGCATCCTCTGCCCGCCAACTGGAGGAACGCGTCGATCACGTAGTGGCAATGCTAGGTGATATTAGCACCTTCGCAGCGCCAGCCACCATCAGCCAGCAGTCGGACACACCGAAGACCGAGACCAGGCAGCGACAACAACCGTCTGACCCCGATCGCAGCACCAGCACGGCGAAGCATTACAAGATGCCGACTTTCCGGATCGAGAAGTTTTATGATTACGCACATCAAGACCCGGTCGTTTGGTGGCAAGGATTCACAACGGAGTTGAGGATTCATGAGGTCCCCGAGCATCTGTTTATCGGCGCGCTGTTCCTTAGCGCCAAGGGAGAATGCCAGATCTGGCTCAACCATATGGCAACCGTCCACGGCGTCCAGGTCTTCGATCTACACAAGGTGGTCTCCTGGGAGGATCTGACGAAGGAATGGAAGAAGCGGTTCATCGTTGATGACGCCCCGACGCTCGTCATCAACCGCATCTTCACGATGGCTGAAGGAAACACAACGACACGTGATTGGCTCACGGATTGGCAGAAGATCGTGGCGACGCCCGATCTGGACTTACCATTTCCGCATCTGCATCGGGAGCTCTACAACCGGTCATGCGCCGCTTTGAGCCTCGCACTTGGTGATCGCGAGCAGTACAACACCTTCGCCGAAATCGTCAACAAGGCGAGGGAGATCATCAAGACAAACTGGGCAGTTGCACATGAGAAATCAGCATGGCAGCCAACCTTTGTGGAGAAGGTGAGAACTGGTCCGCGACCGCAGCATGTCGCTGCAGTCCAATCGGACAACATTGTGGAAGACCCGACAACCACCCGAGCGTACGTGAGGGAGATCAGGTGGCTGCTGTCCAGCCGTGAAGCAACAACAAGTCCCAAGGGAACGGGAAGACGAAAACCGCATCGGAGGCCGAAAACGGACAGCTAGCACCATGGGTCAAGTCTCACTTGACCGAGGCAGAATACAAGTGGCGCGTCCGCTACGGCTGCTGCTATTGGTGCAACAGCACCAAGCACAAGACCTCCCAATGCCCTGATCATGGCAAGGAGGATGTTCGGCCTCGTATCAACTTGGGAAACTGAGTTGCGCAGGAGGTGAGGCGACTCCACTTCTCACTCCGCCAGATTCGGCCGCCTTGCTAGCGGCCTCCTACACATCTGGGGAGGATGCAAATGTCGCAAGTCCTCGGTACACTTACGAGGACTATGTTGTCTGCTTGGTCCCACCGTTGGACCAACTGCTCCACGTGCAACAATCTACCGCATGCACGGTTTCATCACCATCGACATCCAATTCGGCACCTTCGACGCCATCTACCGCCGGGGACTCAACGTCATGGTCAAGACTTGAAGAGCTCGACCCGTTGACATTTGCGGACTTCCAAGGGATGCCCCTTCCCCGGTCCAGTCGATTGCCAAAACCGCATTGCAATGTGCTCATGGCACAATTGCGGGATTACTTGCACACTGCAGTACCGACTCCGTTGATGGACGCCGGAGTAGAGGTTGTCGACCTTCACGCCTACATTGCGAAGATCGACCGCAAGTTCAAAACACAACGGTACGACGACATCGACGCACCATTGTTATATGTGCGCATTCAGATCGGAGAGGCGACCTGCAGCGCTTTGATCGATTGCGGAGCATCTCGCAACTACATGAGCCAGGACTTTATGGTACGCGCCGCCCTTAGCCCACGCGTCCGGAGGAAGTCCCAGCCTACGCAAGTCACGTTGGCAGACGGTCACACACACAAGTCAATAGACCGGTGCATAGATGACGTCCCTGTGTACTTTGCCCCACACGCAAGCGAGGCGGTGTCCTTCGATATCTTGGACACCAAATTCGACATGATCTTGGGCATGTCATGGCTGCGAAGCGAGGATCACCCAGTGAACTTCTGCCTCGCACCGTTCACATTCGTGATCGGAACGGAGTACTAGTCCCATGCACGGTAGCTCCTCCTCACCCTTCGATCAGTTGCCACGTGGTGTCCGCCACAAGCATGCGAGCTTCCATCATCAGAGACGACATCGAGGAGATGGGGGTGTGTTTTCCCCACACCCTCCCGCCCCATGACGCTTCATCGACGGACTCGTCTTCGAACCCACTCATCACCGAGTTTCTCGACGCCTACGGCGACGTATTCGAAGGCCCGCACGGAGTCGTACCGGATCAGCCCATTCACCACGAGATCATCCTCGAGGACGGGGATGTACCTCCACGCGGTTGCATCTACCGAATGAGCGAGGAAGAGTTAAGTGTGCTACGGGCACAATTCGACGACCTTCTGGAGAAAGGCTGGATTCGGCCTAGCTCATTGCCATACGGTGCTCCCGTTCTCTTGGTCCGGAAGAAGAACAAGGATTTGCGGTTGTGCATCGATTATCGCAAGCTCAATGTGCAAATGATCAGAAACGCCGGCCCTCTTCCATGCATCGACGACCATCTCGAACGCCTGGGCGGCGCCAAGTTCTTCTCCAAGCTTGACCTCAAGTCGGGATATCTACAACTCGAGATTCGGAAGGAGGACCGCTACAAGACCGCGTTTAAGACGCGATATGGGCATTTCGAATGGCTGGTTATGCCATTTGGCCTTATGAATGCCCCAACCACTTTCCAAGCGGCTATGACAACGAAGTTCCGACACATTCTGGATCGATTCGTACTTATCTACCTCGACGACATCCTGGTGTACAGCCGGAGTTTGGACGAGCATGTGGAACACCTGCGCACCGTTTTGGAGCGGCTACGACAAGCCAAGTACAAAGTCAACAGCGACAAATGCGAATTCGCGCGGCAGGAGCTGGAGTACTTGGGACATTATGTGACGCCGAAACGCATCCGTCCGCTTGTGGACAAGATCGAGGCCCTCCGCGTATGGCCCGAGCCGACCAACACCACGGACATTCGTTCATTCATGGGGTTGGCGGGCTACTATCAGCGATTCATCACCGGATACTAAAGGATTGTTGCACCTATGCCATTCGTATTCGGTGACGACGCACGCCGGTCATTCCAAGCACTTAAGACGGCCATGCTCATGGCACCCGTCCTTAGCATCTATGACCCCACCCTGCCTACGAGAGTGACAACTGACGCTTCCAACTACGGCATTGGGGCAGTCTTGGAACAACACGACGGCGACGATTGGCACCCTGTGGAGTATTTCAGCCACAAAGTGCCTCCCATCAATTCGCTTGATGATGCAAGGAAGGAGCTGCTCGCGTTCGTGATGGCTCTCAAGCGATGGCGACACTTCCTCCTCGGGCGTAGTAGGTTCACATGGGTCACGGACAACAACCCATTGACCTACTACAAGACGCAGGATACGGTGAGCAGCACGATCGGACGATGGATGTACTTCATCGACCAATTTGACTTCACACCGAAACATCTCCCCGGCCTCTCTAATCGCGCAGCAGATTCACTCTCGCGAAGACCCGATCTTTGCGCCATGACACATCATGCCTTCGCATTCGACGAGGAACTACAACGACACTTCATCCGGGGCTATGAATCTGATCCGGACTTCGCCACGTTGTATGCGCAGTTATCTTCGGATCTTCCGCCGGCCAGCCACTATCGCATTGCCGACGGGTACGTGCTCCTCCACTCGAGAGGCAAGGACTTACTGTGTGTCCTACGAGACCGTAGTCTTCGAACTCGCCTTCTCGGGGAGTACCATGACTCGCGACTCGCCGACGATTTCGGAGTCAACCGCACTATCGCACGGCTTCGACAACGATTCCGATGGCCCGACCTCATTAACGAGGTCACTCGGTATTGCGACTCTTGCGAAGTTTGCCAACGAAGCAAGCCCCGCAGTCGCAATCCCCACGGCGAGTTGCGCCCGAGGCCTATCCCACGAGAACCCAGCCTCTCCATTGCCATGGATGTCACCGGACCATTTCCCTGCGATCGCCTCGGGCACGATGGCATCCTCACGGTTGTGGACCGTTTGAGTAAGAATGCGCGTTTTCTCCCTTGCAAGTACAACTCCACGGCTCCCGAGCTGGCACGCCTCTTGCACACCGGTTGGATTTGTGGCCACAGTGTCCCGGAAGACATAGTCAGCGACCGCGACACTCGCTTCATGTCGGCATTTTGGACTGCTCTCATGCACGAGTCCGGCATGAAGATGAAACCAAGTTCGGCTCGACATCCACAGACGGACGGGCAAACGGAGCGGGCACATCAAACCGCTCAAATGATGCTTCGTACGATCATCCGTCCGGACCAGAAAGATTGGGTTGACCACCTCCCCGACATCGAGTTCGCCTACAACACTTCGGTGCACCCGACGATCCGCGTGACTCCATTCGAGTTGCACCACGGTGGACGGAAAGGCTGTATCTTCACCGACCTTCCCCTCCCACGACCAGCCGACATCGACGCCTCTTGCTTTTCCGCTTCCGTCCGGAAGTACAGGGAATTGCTGGCCCAAGCCCGCGCGAACATGCAAAAGGCTGAAGTCCGCATGCAGCAGCAAGCCAACAGGCGTCGCGTGCCATGTCCCATCCGCGTCGGTGATCTGGTTTTGGTCTCCGCGGAAGAGTTTGCACTGGAACAGGATGTTTCACGCAACCTGCTTCCCAAGTGGTTTGGACCATGGCCCGTAACATCAGCCGCGGGCGATGAGCCTGATGGCCCTGCGCATCTGACGGTCCATCCAGTTTTTCACGCCTCGAAGCTGGCAACAAATACACTAGCTAAGAGCGACGACTTTCCGGGCCGATGATCGCAGGACCCTCCATCTATGGATGGTCATCAAGAAGTTGACCGCGTCATCACGGATCGCAAACGGATCGCAAGTACGGCAGCAAGCCTTGCCAGTACAAAGTTACATTCAGAGCATGCGATCCCGACGACACTCGGTGGATTTCAGGAACAGATTTGAAAGCATCTGCACCGTTGATCTACGCTCACTACGAGCAACAAAGGTTAGCTCAGGGACCTTCACGACCTGCCCCTCCCACCTGGACTGTGGTCCCTCCCTCAGACAGACAGCTTCGCCCTCACAGGTAAGCTCGTTCTTTCAAGGAGGGGGGGGTGTGGCATACTGCGTAGCCACAGGGGCCTGCAGGGCCTCTCGTATTCCCAGCCTAAAAACCTAGAAATAAGGGCTTACAGGCCCCTGTCGTTTCAGCCTGAAAGACTGAAAAACGAGGGCCTGCATGAGGGCCTGCAGGCCCTATGTCGTTTCAGCCTAAAACAGGGCTTTTCAGCCCTGAGGCATTTCAGCCTGAAACGGAGAGCCACTTTCGGGCCCTCATAAGATCGACCTGTCCTAACACTCAGGCACAAAACCAGGGTTTCGGGAACAGGCTATCTTTAGCCTGTTCCCACGACAGCCTCAAGCAGGAGCTGCAGCGGCAGCCCCTGACTCCCTGCGGCATTGGCAAGAGCAGCCTCCTGGACTGCCTCGCCCTGCAGTCAGGAGGTAGGCCGAGAAGCACATAGGGAG